CTGCCGAGACGAGACCGACCACAGAAGGCAAGCTGCTGGACACACGAAAACATAGCTGATGTACTATAACAAGTGACAGTAAAGTAATGGCTGTTATTCTATTCTGTCTTCTCTTCCTAACACGTACTGGGGGACATAACCGGTGTCGACACAGGAACACACTCGGTTACAACACTAAACGTAATTATTAGGAAGGTTTGGCTAGCCTAGAAGTAGCCTAGTAGTCCCTACGGTTTATCCTAGATAATTACTTAATAAATCCTGCCTGGGCAATCAGCTTACTGTATCCGTACTGGTGGATTCCATACGTGCAGAAGGCTGGGCGGGTAAACCAACCCAAGTATTATTTAATCCACGGCTCAGGATGAGCCTCATAGCTCAAAGGTGGAGTGCTGGCTGCGCAAAGCCTCCCCTGCTGTGTGGATTCGACTCCCACCGAAGCCGCGAATTTTTCACACTTGCGTCAAGCGAATTAGGCACATCTGCCAAACTACCCTAATACTATGTCGGTTTATTATTTGTTGTTTTTTTCCTGGTCTTAGTATTGCGCGTGCCTGCTACGCTGATGCTGATGTCTACCTTTTCGATGACCCGTTGGCGGCAGTTGACGCTGAAGTAGCTAGCCATCTGGTACGCGAGGTGCTTGGCCGGCACGGTCTTCTCGCCAAGAAGACGAGAATCATTGCAACCCACCACCCAAAACTCATCCAACATGTCGACCGAATCGCCATGATTGAGGCAGGTCGGCTGATGGAGTATGGGACCTACGCTAAGCTGACCCTGTCCCGTACCAGTCGTCTGAATGTCTTCCTGATAAGTCGGCAGGCCGAAGAGGTCGAGGAGGCGGAGAAAAGCCTAAGCAGGAACACTTCCAATGTGCACCACCATCCGCCACCGCAACTGTCAAGAAGCGCAAGCAAGACCTCAGCTGATTGGCCCTCCTATTCACGGTCGAGGTGTAGTTCGGAGAGAACGCCGGGTTGTCTACCAGCTGATCTTGCTGAAAGTGAGTTTCCTGCGCTCTTTTATAAGGCCGTTTATCTGGTTTGACAAGACTGCTTGTCAAAAACTAATAACTCCAGGCAATGAATCCCGGACGTCTCTCTACTCTTACAGCTTTACCCTTTTCCTCTGAAGAAATATCCTTTAAAGTTTAATGCTTTTGGCAGGAAACTTTGTCGTGCATACTTGAGCTGTGATTATGCCTGATCTAGCCAGCCTCGATTGTTTCACGTATTGCACCTGGCTGGCTAGTAGCCCTTGTTAGATCGGGGACCCCGCCGAGTTGGCCTCAATCCCGGCGGTGAGGAGGAGGAGGAGGAGTCAGAGCAGCGTGGTCAGGAGGGGCTGCTGCGTCATCAAAAACATAGATGGAGAGGAGGAGAGATAGATCCACCGTAGGGAGATAGGTGTAGCAGACCTTGGCCGCCTGGTCCTGGCCGGCTGGTCCTGGCTGCGTCCAGCCAGGTCTGAGAGGGTCGACTGAGTGT